GGAGCAAGAGCGCCCTCTGGTGTTCTAATGTAAAAAAAGCCGCTCGAGCATTGTTTTTCTAACGCGGCCATTTTAAAGAGGTGTGGACTTCAACTCCCAGCATTCCGCAGCTGCCTGGCTGAGGATTCCTGGCTGAGGAATCCTGGGAGTTGAAGTCCACAAGTCGTCAAAGGGCCAAGCTTGAAGACCCCTGTCTTTAATCTAACGAACAAAATGGAGGCTGGTTGAGGAATTCTGGGAGTTGAAGTCCACAAGTCATGAAGGGGCCAAGTTTGAAGACCCCCCTGGCCTAGTGGTTAAGGCAGCAGGCTGGAAAGCAGGAGACCGAGTTCAAATCCTGCCTTAGCCCTGAAAGCTAACTTGGGTGACTTTGAGCCAGTCCCTCTCTCTCTCTTTCAGCCTAGCCCACCTCACAGGGTTGTCGTTGTGAGGAAAATATGAGGAAAGTGTGTGGGATATGTTGGCCTCCTTGAATTATTTGCAGAAACAATAAAGACATAATACAAATAAATACAAATAAATACACACACCCCTAGTCTCCCTCCCCTTTTTAACCCACATTGGTGGCTGAGCAAGCTGCCCACTCTTAATAGGCCCTAAACCAGGTTACTAACCTGCGCCTGGGTGTTGCTAGTCCTCATTGTGGAATGCCTCTCGTGCTCCTTCAGGGTTGGGGCCTCCTCTTTATGGCCCAACCCTCTTCGGCCAGCTCCATCTTTTGGGCCAGGCCAGGCCTACCCTGCAGGGTTGTGAGGAAAAGGCAACCCCAAAACCCCCTTCAGGGCCCAGAACTGCCCCTGTGGGGCTCCTCACGTGCCCCAAGAGACGTTTGAAGGCTGACCTGGGTCAGCAGGGGCCAAACCTGGGTCAGCAGGGGCCAAACCTGGGTCAGCAGGGGCCAAAGAGGGGCCCTTTGGGGCCCAAACAGGGCCTGAGGCCTGAGGGAGCCTGAGGCCTTTGATGCTTGCCCCTCATCAAGGCAACAAGCCTCACCTGTGGGCACCTCGCCTTGCTCAGCACCTGAGGGGGAGAGGGGTGGGGCTTGGAGAAGAGGCGGGGCCAGCGGGCTGCAGCTTGGGATGGATGGCCTTTGGGTTCCCAGGTGGCTGGGGATGATAGGGCATACAGTCCAAAGCTCTCAGGAAGGTTGAAGTCAAGCCTGGCAGTCTCGGCAATTCAAACGTCGCATTTTGGGCTATTAATATGATGACGGTGGATTGATTGCCCAGTCAGCCCGTGTGTGTGTGTGTGTGTGTGTGTGTGTGTGTGTGTGTGTGTGTGTGTGTGTGTGAAGCGGCATTTTGGCATATATTTTTTTTTGTCAAAGTGATTGTAATTATTACTATCCAGGGGAAAAAAATTAAGAATTCGAGTTTGAAACAAGGACCACGGGCAGCCAATAAATCTAAGAAGCAAACCAATAAAAATTAAGGTAGCCCTTGAGGATACAGGCAATTTCAAGCATGTGTGTGTGTGCGTACACACCCGCATGCAAAATTAGGGTGTTTGGGTCTGATAAATTAAAAAAAAAATCATTAAAAAAAATAATTATTTGGGAAGGACAGAAGCCTGCACTGGCCCTTAAGCCCCTTCACTCTGGCACTCTCAGGGAGATGGGCAATTTTTAAATACGATATATAAATAAATAAAATTAAAACACCTCATTTTAAACATCCACAGGCATTTGACATTTCAACAGTCAGTCTAAAATACTTTTCCCCCCCATTTCTAAACACCTCCCCAACCAGGACTTCCTAAGCATCCTGGAGATTTATTATTTTCATGGTTTCATTATTATTATTATTTTCAGAATATCCGCCACCTGAAACCATCCATCCCTGCTTAAAAACCACCTTACCTTGCTGCAGATTTGCGTCTCCAAATAGGTGTCGGAAGTGCAAACAGCCACCGGCACTGCTCTTCAGGTGTGACCTCCAGGTTTTACACACCCGCACCCCCCCCTCCCACGCAGGTGTACAAAGAAAAGGCAAAACTGGGCAGGTAGTTGTAGCTCGCTTTTTATTTATGTCCACAAATATTTCAAAAAAATTACAAAATACTCAAATGGAGAGAACACAGAATTCACAACTCCTGGGTTTTTTTGTTTTTTTTCCTATCCTGCTTTACACTGTGTTATTCCATGGCAAACTACTCATATATACACTAAGCCTCAAGATATATATATATAAACGTAGCTGTTCAAAGGGAGAGCTTGAATAAGGACAACACTGAACGAGAAGACGGGTTGGTGAAAAAGAAAGAAAGAAAGAAAGAAAGAAAGAAAGAAAGAAAGAAAGAAAGAAAGAAAGAAAGAAAGAAAGAAAGAAAGAAAGAAAGAAAGAAAGAAAGAAAGAAAAAAATAAAGTACCCACACCCAAACTAGGGAAGTGGGCAACCAGGAAAAAAAAACACGTGTTGGTTGTAAAAAATATATATATATTGATGAAGGTTCTGCAAAAATATGTTAACCACGAAGAAAAGATTGGGTGATTGCAACAGAGGAAGGCCATTGTTAAGGGATTGGGAAGAAGTAACACTGTAAAGTTAAGATTTTCCCACCCTGGAATGATTCAAAATATTAACTGGAAAATTGAGGAAAAAAATGGGGGTGGGAGTTCAACGGGTTGACACCTTTGACTTGAGAATGCATTTCTGTTGTCCGTGTTTCCCAAAAGGGGATTTACGCTTGGACAGATCCCTGACGACTTGAGGTTTACCTGTTGAAATTTGATTTTTCTGAACGTATAGGAGACAGAGAGATGTTCACAATTATTGGGGGCTATTCTGCTTTTTTTTTTTCCAATGTTTTCCACTCCAGAAACACTGCCTGAACTTTTCAAGATTCCTTCACTTCTTTTTTTAGTTTGTCTTGCTAGTCGGTGGGGGAAAAATATATATATTTTTTTGCATCTGACTTGCAAAAAAAAACACAAAAAAAAACACATTTTCCCTGCTTCTCAATCCCCCTCTCTTCCCTCAAGGCTGGATTCAACTGTTTTTATTTTGCAGTAAGGCCGGCTGACCCATCAAGTCGCCAGTGTGGATTGAGGCTTAATTGGGGCTGGGTGACCCCCAAAAGACCCCCAGAGGCAAAAGAAAAAACAGCCAAGCCAAATCTGTTCTGGGAAATTGAGGTGCAGGTCCGTGTTGGGGAATTTGCCAACTGCACGCCGAAAGGGATGGTTGGTGGCGTTGGGTAAGGCTGCAAACGAAAAAAAACAAAAATTGCTCTGAAGGGGATTTTGAAGGACGGAGAGGATGTCCTGAGAAAATTAGGATATTGTGGTAGTGGTGTTTTATTTTTAAAATGGCCTTTGCATCAGAAATCTTGGCTTTTCTCAAAAATTAAGAGGGAGGGGAGGAGACACGGGATGGAAAAGGCTTCTGAGAAGTAACGAAAAGGGAACTTGTGACGTGGCACACATTTCGTTATCCACCTCCCAAATTAAAAGCTTGTCTAATGTAACCGTGGGAAGGGTGAGGATTCACAGTGAGATTCCAGCAGCTTAGTTCGGGATTCCGGCGTTACATTCTCACGGAAAGGCAGCTGTTTTAACCAAACAGGGCAAGCTTCTGAGCCTTGCCAAAATTCTGATTTTATTCAGTCCATTCCCAGAGGATGGACTGAAGTTGGAGGGGAGGGGAGGAAATTGGCCTGCACAAATGTGCCCACGGGCGACTTAAGATGATATTTACAGCCAGCCCAGAAAAAAAACAACCCTGCATTTTGCATAACCGGTTTGAATTCTTATTGAGATTTCATTTACCGGCTGGCTCAAATGATCAACAGGCCCAAACTAAGAAGGGTAGGGGGCTTAGGGTCAGAAAATACCTTAAATGCTGGGATTTAAAAAGAAATAAAAGCAGGAAAAGGTGTGTGTAATGTAAAAGACGCACCTGAGATGCGGCACCCACAATCTGGAACAGAGGTGTGGCTTCCTGCTCAAACAACGGCTTTTGTAACGCAACCAGCTACTGAAGGAAGAGCGAGGAGAACAAAAGTATGGAACAAAAGTAATTAAATAAAGGATGTGCACATGTAACGTGTGTGTGCCAAAAAAAAAAAATACAATTGTTTTTGTTGTTTTTTTTAATATTATCCCTGCAAACTCCTTTTAATGCTTGCGCTCCTTCCAGCCGATCTGAAATTACTGACTTTATTATGGTGCTCCCTATTCTTGAATCAAAGGGTTGCTGATATATTTTTTCCTCTTATTTTTTTTTTAAAAAATCAAGTCTATATTCTCGTGAACACCGGGTGAAGAAGTAAGAATGATTTTATGATGAGGAAGGAGCCCGGGCTGGAGTAGAGGCAAAAAATAATATTAATAATCAGGAATTCATGAAATTATAATCATCTTTTTAAAACCCCTAGCCCCCCCCCCAAAAAAAGTTATTTACAGATTTAAAACGCCATGCTGCAAAGCTCTCTTTAAAATTATGAAGTTTGCCTACAATGTATTAAAATAAAAGTAGATTTTTTTTTCTTTTAAAATTCTTATTATAGCACTTGGATTTCCAGAGGTTGTAAAGCCACTACTTGCGATTCTCGTGGTTTTTTTTTTTTAAAGTATATATATATATAAATTGAATATACTTTTTTTTTATGCACAGTGGCTTGCATTAGAGGTTGTGAACTTGAAACTAGCACCTACTCAAAATGAAAAATAAAATGAAATAAAAATGAAAACCGATGGCCAAAAACATACCAAACCAATGAGGAAACCATTTGGGTAATTTCTCTCTCCGGTTCTGTTTTGTTTTTCCTTCCTCTTCCCATTCAAAAAAAGGCCTTTTAACAGGTTTAGTCATGCAAAGAGACTCCTGAACCGGTCTTGGCGAAATCTTTCCTACAAATGAACACTTATGTATAGAACATATGCATCGATTCACGCCTGGCTTTGCAGGGCGAGACGTGTGGGCCGGGATACGTGTGTGTGTGTGTGTGTGTGTTTCCTGCGTGAAAAAAAGAGAGAACGGTTCTCTCCGGAAGAGATTTCTTTTGCTTTTCCAGCAGTTCTCCAGATTAAACACATTCCACTGCTCCCCGAGGACTAGGAACTTGAGTAGTCAGCGTCACAAATAAATAAGGTATTACAACTGCTTGTCGCCCTCCTTCTTCAGGCGGCTGGAAAAGGGAAGGAGGGGAAAAAAAACCAGGAAGTGAAAAGCATTCGGGAAGCAGCCGGTGGGGAGAGGGGGGGAAGAGGCCGCCCCCCCTTACCTGTAATAGTCTTCTTGGCTGGGGAGGTGCCCCCCGTGGATGTGGGGGTGCCCGTGAAGCCACTGCTGTTCCATCGCCAGTCGCTGCAGCTCTGCTGATTGGGCGTGCATGGCTTGCAACTGATGTGCCGCGGACATGGGAGGTGGGAGGGCGCCAGGAAGGTCGCGGGGGTAGTGGGCACCTGGGAGAAAGAGGGACAGGGGTCTCCAGTGGCAATCCTGGCGCTCAAAGCTAGGGGACAGCAAAGAGGGACCACCCCGCTAGCTCGCCTGGGGACGGAGGCCTTCCCCTTCGAAGCATTCCTCGTTAAGACAAAACAAATCAGGAAAGGGCCAGACCCACAAAGGTGGCACCTGTTTATCAGTGCCCACCTGGACACATTTCCACTGATCACCCCCTGGGTCTTCCCCGTCACCTGGTGGGCGTCCCGGAGACATGGAATTGGCCTGATGGGAAAACAGGACGTTGGCCGTCTCCTCTGCGGTCCACCTTCCGCCCCGGCCCCGTAATGTGGCTGGCCTGACTGGGGGGGGGGGGCTGAGAGTGTTGTGTGTGAACCCAACAGGCGGCATCCCTATCCCGGCACGCCGTGGCGGTCCCCACTCACCGAAGACCGGATGCCGCAGCATTTCATGCTCGTGGGACGGCTGTCCTAGCAACGGGTTGGGGATGGTGCCGGGAGGGTAAGGGAAGCGTGCCAAATGCGGTCCGGCGGCTAGAGGGTCCACCAGAGGGTGGACGGGTCCTGCTGAGCCTGCAAAAGGGAGGGGGCAGGAGAAAGGAAGGAAAAAAAGGGGGGGAAGGAATCACTACCTCTTTAGAAACTCTAATTTCCATCAGGGGATCAAAACCGCCCCTTATTGCAGACAGTCCTCAGTTTACGACAGTTCAGCTCAAATTTTCCGTCACTAAACCGGACAGTTAAGCGGGTTTTGCCCCGTTTTATGACGCGGTTGTTCAGTTAGTGACACGGTTATGTGAATCTAGCTTCCCCCCCCCCGACTTTGCCTGCCAGAAGGCCGCTAAAGGGGATCGTGTGACGCTGCGACCGTCATAAATAGGCGTCTGAATTCTGACCACGGGATCGTGGGGATTGAGCCGAAAATTGGTGTCGCTAAGCGAGACAGTTGCTCAGGTGGTTTTACGACCACAGTTGTTAAGCGAATCACTGCAGTTGCCAGGCCAGTAGCACGGAGACTAAGCGAACCTGGCTTCCCCATTGACAGGAGGTCATAAAAGGGATCACGTCCCCCCCCCAGAGGGCAGGGGTAGGCCACCTGGGCTCTTTTATGACTCGTGGACTTCAACTCCCAGAATTCCTGAGCCAGCCATGCTGAGGGGAAAGGGAGAGGTTTCCAAGCTGAGCCATCCAGCCTCAGGAATTCTGGGAGTTGTAGTCCACGAGTCATGAAGGGGCCAAGGTTGCCTACCCCTGCGGGCCCAGGGACACTGCGACCGTCATAAGCACGAGTCAGTTGCCGAGCGTCTGAATTCGGATCACGTGACCATGAGGGAACGCTGCAGTGGGTCGTTAAGAGTGAAAAACGATCATAAAAAGCCGTTTCTTTCCATACCGTTGCAACTCCGAACGGTCGCTAAACGAACGAAAGTTGAGGAGCACGTGTACCAGCCTCATTTTCTGCAGATCAAGGATACGGTCCTTGCCCCCCCCCCGGGACCGTCCTGGGACTCGGCCGAGGGACTCAGCCGGTCCTCAGCGCCTCACCTTGATGTAGGGGGTCCTGCTGGTGGAGGTGCAGATGTGAATGGATGTGGGAATGTTGGTGGTGATGGGGCGTCACGTTGAACATCTGGAGCCTGGCCAAGGGATCGTTGGTGAGGGACGCCATTCGCTCGGCGTGGATCCTCTCGGCAGCCAGTCTGTCCGGGTAGCTCATATCGGGCCGTAACTGCGGGCCGGCCAAAGCGAGTCTCTCCCTCTCCAGAGGGTTAAGCCCAGGGTGGAAGGAAGCAAAGGGGTGCGGGCCCGCCGTCGGGGGGAGGGTGAGGGCCCCGTGACGGGCAAAGTGCTCCATGGGGTTGGCGGCCGGGTGGAGGGCGTCCAGTTCGGGAGGCTTGACCTCGAAACCCGGCTTCATCCTTTCCCGCAGTTCCCGCTCCCGCAGCTCCCTCTCCCGCAGCTCCCGCTCCCGCAGCTCCCGCTCCCGGAGGGTAGGGTCCACGTTGTAGAGGCCCGGCATGTGGTAGGCCAAGAGCGGGTCGGTGGGGTTGAGGGGAACGAAGAAGGGGTGGTTCCGGTTGGTGGGGGACATGACGTGGGGACGCGCGTACTCGCTCAGCGTCCGTAGGGCCGGGGTATCCGGCCCGATGTAGGGGGGTACGGCCGCGATGGTGGTAGGGGGCGGTTCGAAGGAGGGCCTCAGGTGCGCCGGCCCGCTGAGCTGGGATTCTCCGAGACGACCGTCGTGGGAGGAACTGGACGCTTTCTGCGGGAGGGAAGAGAGAGAGGGCAAATAAAACAAAAGCCCAGATGTTTCCTACTCTCCCAATTCTTGCATGGGAGGTATTGAATACATGCAAGGCTTCACAGCCAGGTGGACACTTAAGACACCTGCCTCATCTGGGACCAGGAAAACCCAGCCACTACTTGTGGGGGAGATCCTTCTGTATCAGCCATAATGTTCTGTCCCAGCCTACGTGAGTCCTTGTTAAACTCACAAGGAGACACCCCTCTTCCAACAAGCAGGCTAGAACTGCAGGAAAAAACCAATCCCCCTTTATTATTTACAGACCTGAGTCCATGTCCAAGGCAAACAAAACACAGTTCACTGAAATTTGACTCCTTAACACAAACGGTTGCCTTTGGCCACCAGCACCTCCCACACCTTCCCTTTTATTATGCAGCCAAGGCGTGGCTTCCTAATGCCTTCTCCTTTGCCTTTGGAGCCACCCCATTGCATCCCTCTGTCCTACTCTCTTTTCTTGCCGGCGCTTTCGTGCATCCTGGATTTGTCCCAGCTGTTCTTCATCACTGTCCAACTCAAGATTCCCAGCACTGCTGTGTCTCAGCCTGAGCGCGAGTAGAAGGGCCAGGCTCGTCAGACTGTAAGTCTTGGAGCTCCTCAGAGCCTTCCTCCTCCTCTGATGTCACTCCAGGCCCCCCTCCTCCTCCTCTGATTCCCCAGACTCAGCTGCCGGGTCCACTGGCTGGCGAGGAATCACAACACATCCTTCTTCATCCCCACAGGGGCCATGCAACACCCTGGAGTGTGTCGGCCGAGGTGATACAACTGAGCCCTCGACTTACAACTGAGCCCAACATTTCGGTTGCTAAGAGGAACATTTATTAAGTGAGTCAGTTGCCAAGCGTCTGAATTCTGATCACGTGACCCACGGGGATGCTGCAAAGGGGCATTAAGTGTGAAAAAACTGGCCCTAAGTCGCTTTTTTCGGTGCGGTTGTAACTCGAGACTGCTGTAAGTCGAGGACTGTTAAGTTGTGGGAACCAAGAAGGCTCGTCTCCTAGTGGGAAGGCTGCGCTGTAGGTCTGAAAGCACACAGCCTTGCCTATGACTGTAACTGCATCCTTGGGAGCCGGCAATCTCTTCTGAATTTCTACCTCCCGTTAAGCCAGGGCTGAGTCACTAAGTCAGCTGCTTGTACGAGGGTGAGAACAGTCGCCCTTCCTTTTGGGGGTCCGATTCAGCCCCCCTGTCCCACCACCCCACCTTCAGCCCAACAGACCAACCTACCGCCGCCCTTTCCGCTTCCCTCTCGCGCTCCCGTTCTCGCTCCCTCTCTTTCTCCTTCTCTTTTTCCCGCTCCCGCTCTTCTCTCGCTTTCTGCTCCGCCTCGCGCTTGGCCTTCTCGATCGCCTCTTCCCGCTTCTTCGCCAGCTTGGAGCCGGCCAGCGGCATGAAGTACAGATCCGTCCGGCCGCAGGAGTTGTAGCCACGGTCCAGGTGCTTGTAAAACCTGCGGGGCGGAGGGGAGGATGAGGAGAAGCTAAAACGATCGACCTGGAAAAAGCGGGAGGATCTTGAAAGTTAAGAGGGATTTGCACAAAAACTAGAAATGGGGATCTAACACGTTGAAATTAGCTCTGTTTTGCTAATTTGGAAGTAAAGCTTTTACTTTTTTGAACTGAAGATGCCTTCTGCAAGCTGAAATTATCCTGAAACTGATATTGTTACCCATCTTTATTTTATTGCTTCCCTTGTTCTAAACATTGATGTATATAAGACTGCTACACTCCTTACTAGAGATATGGAACTAAGCTATCCATCAGGCTGGCTAGAGATGATGGGATTTTTAATCTTCCTCCCCTCTAGCAGGATGTCAGTCAGGAAAACAACCGGTTCGTATTACTCCACCGATTTTCCTGTGCATTATTCAGTCCCGAGATCTTATATCGCGAGGCACTAAGCCACATTTAAACCATGGCTTTCTTCATACCCCACAAGGGGCTGCCTTCGCCTCCCATCTAAGTCTCCCCAAGCCTGCCCAAAGCATCTATCTCCCGGCTAAGTAGATGGGCCAGGTGGGGATGAATTGAGATCTATCAGCCCCCTCACCTAGCCGACTGACTGGCGTGGCTCGGCGTGTCCACCACCGTGGGCTCTGGGGAAGGGCTCCGGGTGGAAGGAGGGGGGCTTTCGGGCTCCTCGGCCTCATCCAACGCCTCCTCCTTGATCTGGATGGAGGGGATGGGGCAGGCGGCCACCACGGGGAGGCTTCCGCCACAGGCCGCTGAGCCGGGCACGGCCCCCTGACTCGGGGCGCTCGGCACGGAGGGTGGCGTGGAAGTCGATGGGCAGGAAGGCGGCGTGACGGGAGCCGGCCCCCCGGGAACGAAGGGGTGCTGGGCGAAAGGGGGCTGGGGAGGGGCCGGGTGGCTCTGGGTGAGGACCGGGGGCTGGGC